TGATCGATACTAAGGCCATAATCCACAAGTTGTTGCTTCATCCAAAGGGTTTGAGCACAACAACTACCGGCGGCAACATATTCCGCTTCGGTTGTGGATAACGCAACACTGACTTGCTTCTTGCTAAACCATGAGACTAAAGAACTACCAAGCAAGTGACAAGTCCCACTCGTACTCTTACGGTCTAATCTACAACCGGAAAAGTCCGAGTCGGAATAGCCAAAAAGATGACAAGGAGACCCCTTGGGGTACCATAGTCCAACGTTAATTGTACCAACAAGATACTTCATTATCCGTTTCACCGCCGTTAAATGCGATTCTTTTGGACAAGATTGACACCTTGCGCATAAACAAACGCTAAACATGATATCGGGTCTACTAGCGGTAAGATAAAGAAGGGATCCGATCATACCTCGATACTTCTTTACGTCTACTTCCTTACCCTTTTCATCTTTTTCCAAATGCTCGGAGGTGCTCATTGGGGTAGCCATTGCTTTGGAGCCATCCATTTCAAATCTCTTTAAGAGCTCCTTGAAATACTTTGATTGACAAATGAAGGTCCCTCCCCTCATTTGTTTGACTTGTAACCCCAAGAAGAAATTGAGTTCCCCCATCATGGACATCACAAATTCATTTGTCATTAGGTTTGAAAATTCCTTGCACAAAGATTCGTTAGTAGCACCGAATATAATGTCATCTACGTAAACTTGTACCAAGAGGATGTTATCGTTTTTACTCTTGATAAAAAGTGTAGTGTCGACCTTCCCCCTTTTGAACCCGTTGTCCAAAAGAAATTTGCTCAAGCGTTCATACCAAGCACGAGGTGCTTGTTTAAGACCGTAGAGTGCTTTCTTTAGTTTATAAACATACTCCGGGTGCTCAAAATCCTCAAAGCCCGGGGGTTGATCAACATACACTTCCTCTTGAATAAATCCATTGAGGAAGGCACTCTTAACATCCATTTGGTATAGTTTAAAATCCATAGATGAAGCAAAAGCAAGTAATAAACGAGTAGCTTCTAAACGTGCTACCGATGCATAAGTTTCTTCAAAATCAATGCCTTCTTCTTGATTGTAGCCTTTAGCTACGAGCCTAGCTTTGTTTCTAGTGATTATTCCATTTTCGTCGAGTTTGTTACGGAACACCCATTTCGTACCAATTATGGTGTGATCATCGGGTCTTGGCACCAATTCCCAAACGTCATTTCGTTTGAATTGGTTAAGCTCCTCTTGCATTGCCAAGGTCCAATGTTCATCATCAATTGCTTCCGAAATGGTTGTAGGTTCAATTTGAGAAACAAAAGCCATGTGACCTACGGTGTCCCTAAGAGAGCTACGAGTACTTACCTTTCGGTTGATGTC